TAAAAACCAAAATCCATTAAAATAAGGTCCATATTTCTCACACTAATAGATGTTTGCATTTGCAGATAGAGCTCAGCATTTTGAGCCTATTAGTTCTGCCAAATTTAAAAAAATAAATTAAACCCAGTAAATTAATGTCACATGCAACATGCTCTTACTCCCTAAAATTCAAAGCACAAGACATTTAACTACGTGTATTGTATTTATTAATCAAAATCCAAGAGGTCTCTAAATGCCAATGACAAAAACCAAGAACAATGTATTCAGATACAAATCACAGTTAATGGAAACAAACTGGATGCAACTGACACATGAAAGGAAATTGACTCAGAAAATAAGTTGCATATTTTTCTAGACCATATATATATTTCTTCCCATTCAGAAAATAAAAAAAATCTGATTTGCAAGCCAGCTATAACAATCTTCAGGCTTTTCGCTGCAACTAGTCACCAATTTTCCAAATGCAAATGGACACACTGTCCAGATCAAAAAATCAAGGACTGAAGACCAGTAAGTTTTCCTGAGTATTTGGTAAAATTTTAATATAACAGAGCAGTGATACCACCTTTGTAGGCTGAATTGCATAACTACTTTCAGATCTCTTGATGCATGTTTTAAATCAGTGGAGAACCACATCACTTGCATTGTACCTGTATAACTGCAAGCAGATTTGGTGCTGGCTAACGATACATAATTTAAGAGGATGAGGAAGAAGTCACTTTACCCGGTTTTCTAATGCTAGGCCTGAATCTCAAGCATAATTCACATGAAGTCATGCAGTTTTAACTAAAATGCTATGATTTGTAGTCTTACAAATTGATATAAGAAAATTAACTTATAAAGAAATGGCAAGTTTTTTCCCCCTCAAATCAACATAACTCCACACAAGCTCCTCTTAAGTGTGTCACAGCTGCTGACAAAAGCCTGAGATATTTTTTGATCACTGTAGCAAAAAGTTGCATGCTGTCAAGAAACTGAGATGAAGACACAGGTGTACATTTGAAATTATCTGAAGCCCAAGCAAGAACAGGTATTTATACTACCTCTGAACCTTCAGGGAGCTTACAGAACCCAAAGGATAGGAGATGAGGAAGATATAGAGATGAGATGAGCCTGTTAGAGACATACACAACAAAGACAGAGCAAAATAAAGAAATACAAAGATGAATGATACAGTTTTATACATATAGATTATACATTTTATCATGGGTACAAGGAAATGTGGAAAAGGAAGAATGACTATCAGATGAAAATGTTCATAAATACAAGTTCTATTTCAGTAATATAAAAACTTGTGGATAATGTATATATTTGAGAAGAATATACAACAAGAAATAGAGCATTAGCTAATTTAAGCTAGAATTATGTGTTTTTGAGTTTGCCCTCTCTTCAAAGAAAGCAGGAGCAATCCATCTGATCCAGATCCAATATTGCCAGAAAACCTGGGTATATATATGGCATTCATTGTAACTTATTCCCAAAACAAAGGAACACGGTCACCTACCTAGGAATGCCCCCCTACCCTTTTCATATGGCTCCATGTCCATCTCTCTCCATGTAGCAGTATTGACATCAGAGTTTCACATGCTGTAGGGTAGCTCTGAATTATGGCACAAATGCTTGAACTGACACTTAGGAGAGATTAGGAAACTGAGGAAAGTAGCAAACACCATCACATAACTGGTAATTTACACGGATTGGAATACTAAAGCATACTGTCTTAAATTAGACACCCAAGCATAATCTTAAACACCTCTGTGTGTGCTCATACTGCCATAAAACAATGATGTCCAAAGCAGCCCATCATGCTAACTGAAACAACTGGGAAAAGCCTTGAAAAATAACATGTCAAAATGAACTGCTACAGCAGCTAATGCTCTTAACTCTGAAGATCCCCAATTTAATATGCTATTGCTTTCTTCAAGCTCTTTGGCATATTGATAAAAATCTCCTTGGAATTTCAGAATTTCTTGAAATCAGATGCAATTTATCCTAATAAAATGTCTGTTCCGACATCAAGAGAGAAGAAGCAGTTATAAATGGCATATTTATGGAACAGAAAACGGGCACAAGATCATGTTATTATGGCAATAAAGTGCATGGAAATACAATTTACAAGTCACTTATCCTGCGTGCTCCTCTCCTTTAGTTCCTTCCTCTTCAATTTTAATCAGTAAAAGGTTTGTTAGATCTCATAACATATATATATATACACATACATGTACTCTGAAGTTTAGACTAAAAGTGAAAGTCAGTCAAAAAACCTAAAATGTTTACCTCTTTTCCTAACTAAATTTTTGCAAATCAGCTACTTTCCCATGCCACACACTTAAACTCTGCATTACAGAGCCCTTTAGAAAAGGGGAGAGGCTGATGGAATTATTTTGGCATT